TTTTTATTATGATTAAATCATATATTTTAATGGTTATATTAATTCTGACAAAAAAAATAAATAAACGATTATATTAATAGATATTAAGGACAAAGAATTATGTGTTACATGTGTATAAACATCAGAAGATATAGAAATAATATTCTAAATAAATGTATAGGGATTCAAATGATTAAATGACAAACTTTAGAGATTTAGGTATAACTTAGCTGACTAATTTTAAACGATAAACTAATAGCTGTTAACATCTCTAACATTAGCTGCGCATTGACATAAATTTATATGTTTAAGGACATAAATTAAAAATTTTAATTTTTAAAAGTATAAATTAAAATTCAAGCTATCTTTTGAGGTACAATTTGTAATTAATCCTAAAATTTAAAAGCCTTTATGTCTTCTTTATATTTCCCGACGTCACCGCCCCCAATTCAACTGATCCCTTACTTCGCCGGATTATCGTCTCTCACAAGAAACCCTAAAAGAAGTTTTGGTTTGGGACGCGATCACCTGCGTGACCGCCAGTAGAATCGTTGTAATGAGATACCGGATAATTTAAGCATCGTGGGGCTTGGCTGCGATCGATGGTACGGAAATCATGTGGTTCCCGTTCTGGAGATCCAGAGATCGATTCTCTTTGGACGAACTCAGGTAACTCCTTTTTTTTTTTTTTTCTTTCCATTTAATAACTTTTTAGGACAAATTTACTTTCCGGAAAAAGCTTTTTAGGGTAAATTTCACCAATTGGTGTTAATTAATGTGACAATTTGGGTTAATTAGGTGTAAGTTTGCTGTGAAGTGAAACTTAGATGTGTAAAGTCAAATCAGCGATGAAATTCAAAGCGCAAAGAAAAGTCAATTACGTATTTTTGTCTGTTGGTTTTGCTGTATTTTTGTAAGTTGGTTTCGTTGTAGTTTAAAATTCAAGGGGGGATTGGATGGCCAAGTAGCCAGATGCTAGAGGCCATGGGATCGCTTGACAGTAGTTATGTTGTAAAAATAATGACAAAAGGTTAGATTTGTACTCAACAGATCCCTTTTTTAACCTTGGGTAACGGGGACCAAAGTGGATAATAATTCTTTCCCCCCTTTTTTATCCACGAGTTATAAATTTTCCTAACAACCTTTAGAGACCCCTTTACAGATTGCTGAAGTAAATTTTAGGCTTGCGATAAGTTGAAGGTTTATTTATCCCATTGGGCAGTTGATAGTCTATACTAGATTCTAATCCCCTCTAGATGAGCAGTCTGTCCAAGCATTAGGCCTCCGCTTGGCTGCCAATTGAGAATCTACTATATGGGAGCGATATGTTGTCCATAAAATATACGTTGAATGTAGTTGTTATTTGTCTAAGTACATGGTTGGATAGGGGGTGTTTGTTGTGTTGCGCATCTGAAGAGGAAATTGGTTTAAGTACATGGTTGATACTTGAGGGCAACTTCACTCATTGTCAATTGATTTTGAGTTGAATGCTTTGACTTAGTAATAGCGTTGCACATTTGGTGGATCAAGTCTCATGAAGAGGAAATTGGTTTAAGTACATGATTTGTACTTGAGGGGCAACTTCATCCCTTGCCAATTGATTTTGAGTTGGATGCTTTGACTTAGTAATAGCGTTGCACATTTGGTGGGCCAATTCTCATGCCCATTTGATTTTCTTAGTATGTTTGTCTCTTTGTTTAGTTAGTGGGTCAGGTCTCACCCATTTGTTTTCTTTAGTTTGTTTCCTTGTTTATGCACGATTTCTTGCCCATGTGCAAGCCAGGATCGTCTAGGAGGAGGGTGAGATTGGAGCTTGGATCCCATGCTGAAAGATTAGGTACACCCAATGTTGGTTTATATACTTAAGGCGTCCATCAAACTATTTCCTATTGGTTTTGGGTTGGATGTCCCAACAATTGGGAGACAGAGAAAGTGCATTCCTTTTTAATGATATTACGAGTCTTTCAGATTTCTAGGAGTCATTTGCATGCAGATTTTAGAACCAAACTGCCATAAGATTGGGATTTACGTTGAGCTATTGCTACGATTTTATCCTTTCAAAGGGTTCAAGGCTTGGGAAGAATGATTAAGGCGTAGTGCAGAATGTAGACTTGTTCTTCATAATACTTTGTTACTGGTTAAGCATCCCCATTGTCCTGATGCTTCTCAGCCTTCATTCTCTATGTTGTACATAAATATCTCTTTAGTTTAGTATAAACACTGCAATTAATTTTTGATGTGAAACTTGGTGTGTTGTGCTGCCCCTTGGTATGGAACTCGTTCTACTTTTTGAGAATCAGAGAACTTCTAGCATTCGAATTAAGTGGGCTAACTATAAGAAGTGTATTATTCATGGTCATACTAGGAGTTTGGTGGTTTCTCTTATTTTGTCCTATTAAATGGGAGACCTTTGATCTGAGTGGTATTGAGGTCATACTTTTAAGCTGTGATAATGTAGCCATTTTTGTAATTATGCAGCTAGATATTATCACTAGATTGCATAATTCTTTTTGGTGGGTTGAGACTAGAGGTTTTGTTGTGTGTTTGAATGTTGAATTGTTGATCATTGCCATTTTAAATTTCTTTATTACAATAGCGTTCTTCACTGTATCTCAATTATTGGCACTAAGCTGGGAGTTATTTTCTTTTGCAAAGGGTACATCACTGTTCTTATGCCTTTAATTGTGTATTCTCTGTTCGTTGATGGAATCTTTAGGCACAGTCCATACTGCCTAGAGTTGCAGCAGACAGAAACCCACCACTCATGTGTTTTGTTTGACTGCGAGCGGCAGATTGAACAGATCCTTTGAACTTTTTGCATTTTAGATTTTCCACCCTTCATAGTTTTGATATCAACTATTGTTTTTCGGTGCAGATATCTAACCGATCAGATAATGAAGGTTCAAATAGTTAATGATGTTAACAAGGTAACATATATCTTATTCTTCTCCTCCTCTTCCTCTTCCTCCTCGTCCTTCTTCTTCTTCTTGATGTATTAAATGCAATTGGTTTATAGTGTGTTCAATTTTTCTACTTTGTGTTATATCATGAAGGATTTTGTGATTGAGGCACTGAGATCAATAGCAGAATTGATAACATATGGTGACCAACATGATACAGCCTTTTTCGAGTGCGGCTTCTCAACCTTTTTTGTTCTTATATGCAAATTTAGTTTCTTCTATTTTCCATTTATTTTTTTCATACGGTTTTTCAAGTCCTTTTGTTCTTTGATACATATGCACATTTAATTAAACAATTTTACAGCATTATGGCTTTTCTGCAGGTTTTTTATGGAGAAACAGGTCATGGGGGAGTTTGTGCGTATACTGAAAATTAGTAGAACTAGTATTGTTTCACTTCAGTTATTGCAGACAATGAGCATTATGATCCAAAACCTAAAAAGTGAACACTCTATATGTATGTTGTTTATAACAAGAACGCCCTTTTTGAGCATTAAATTTTGTCTGATTGGCTTGTTTGATATAAATTCTCTTTTGGCAATTTCACAGATTACATGTTCAGTAATGAACATATTAATTATTTTATAACTTATTCCTTTGACTTCCGCAATGAAGAGCTATTGTCTTTCTACATATCCTTTTTGAGGTTTGTTGTTAATAACCCCACTTTTTAGTGTTCTTTGATTTACTTAATAATTGCCAAAGAGTTTATTTTTCTTTTCTGCAATCAGTACTCACCTCTTTTTTTCTGACTGTGGTGTTCTGTTCACATTTGTCTTTGGTTTTGGAAAGAGCAATAAGCGGAAAGCTGAACAAGAATACGATTTCTGTGCTCGTTAAAACTCGAAATGTAAGGTTTTTCTCTTTGAATATATAGTTTGCTTCATGTCATTATGCTCCCTCTTTACTGTTCCTACCAATATTTCATTAAAACTTTGATTTTATACTTGGACATTTTAATTGATGTTGAATGTTGATTGCATTTATTATCTGAAAAATTAGTCAGACTTTTGTTTACTCCAATTTTCAATGCTCATTCCATCTCACACTTTGTACAATAACTGTACACTAAGCAGTTGGAGTTTTTCCAGTGAGAGTTTTGTTTGCAAAGAATTCCATTGAAGGAAGGTGGTTATATTTTCAATAGAAATAAACATTAAAAGTGGTTTTTCAATAGAAATCCAAAACAAGTAGTTTAATCTGTTTTGCCACATCAGTCATCTGTAACAAAAGACTTCAATAACTAAAAATTAAACTTTGGCTGTTTGTAGGTAAACTCGGTTTTTGGTTTATAAAAATGGGTAGAACAAAGATTATCTTTTGTTTGTTATTTTTCTAAGGCCAACACTATACTTTTGCGGCCTTTCAGGAACATACCTGTTTTCTTGATTGTAACTTGTAAGAGGCTGTGGAAGAGGAAGCTTCTTCTGCAACCCGAACAATTAAGATAAAAAAAAAAAAGGTGGCAAAAGAATTAGCTGAGGTTTGTTTGTAGAACTCAAGTCGGCCTGTACTGTATGAGGTTGAAATCCTAATTTTGGAGTGTTTTGTAGTGCTTGTTCAAAACAGTTGTAGGAGGCTTATAGCCTTAAGCTGGCAGGGATGTTTTTTTCTTGGTTACTGTAGCAGATTATGTTTTTTCCCTCAAAATATCCTCAACTAATTCTCATAATAGCAGCTGATTCACTTGTTACTGTCAAACCATTATGGTAATTCACCAAATGGACGCACACTGATGATAAGTTACAACTATATCAGTCCAATCTGCAACATAATCAAACCCTGAATCGGGGCATTTATGGCTTAGCGAGATGTTAATATCTTTTAAGCATTTTAATATGCCCTTGTACTAGTCAGAAGCTTTAGATTTCTGTGGCACAGTTAGCGTTCTTGAATATTCAATAAAATTGATTTTTGATAGATGTGCTAACCAAGGTTTTGGAGGTGGAGGGTTAGGGTGTTTAGGTGACAAAGAAGGATTTACAAATTTGGGTTTTAGTAGGAAATGAGTAAGAAAGTGCAACTCATGAAGGAAGTTGTGAGGCTATGAGTTACAACAGATTGTTGGGGACGAAAGTTGTGGACTTTATGGCTAAAGGAAGTGGGTCAAAGTGATATTTTTTGTGTTCTTTGCAAACTTGCAAATGCCTTTAGAATGATTGACTTTCCATGCTAGTTCACAATCGATGGTAGTTGGAGGAGACTTAGGATGGCATTTGGAAAGGGATGGACACTTTGAGAACTAGGAGTGTGTAGTGTGTTGCATCAGTCCACTTAACATCCAGGATACAAGTTCTTAGTGAGCCTTTGAGGAATAAATAGTTGAGGTGTTGACATGTTTATATTGGGACAGAGCTCTTTGCCTGGATGAACCACATTTGACATTCTTCCATGACTACCTCAATGTGGTGTGAAAGGACTTCTGAATTTCCCGCATGTAATTTTTGGGGAAGTTCTCTTTGATAGGCTTGATTACAAATGCTATTGTGTGGCTGCTAATGGAGGGGAAGTGATGGATAATGGATGTTTTGGCGGCTAACTGCTGATTACAAGGTTATTCAAGATGGCTAACTGCCGTTTAGATTATTATTTCAGGCCGTGGTATTGTACGAGGGTGGGTCTTGTTCTCAATATGCTTCTTCAGAGACATGATTCTGCACATAGTGCTTATTGCATATGATGACTAGATTCAAAGCTTAGGAGCGTCTTTTTCCTTTTCCTTTTTTGGCAAGTTTGTTGCTGATAAGGCCTACAATAATGTTAATTGGAGTTCCGGAACTGCTTCTTTGGAAGGATTGGTTTTGGAGAAAGTGGGAAGAGCACATGTTATTTGATCAGCTTGTTTTTCAAGCTTATCTATTGTGTCACATGTAGCATATTAACAGTTTTAGAGATCTTAGACTAGGTGATCCCCTATCTCTTCTCAGCTTGTTTTGGTTCTAAAAGTGTTTAGGAGGTTAATTGAAGTTTTTGAGTTTCCTGTCCATTCTGTTCTTGGCATATCTTGGGCTGGTTTAGGGTGGAAAAAAGCTCCCAATGCATCCACACAGAAAACCAAAGAAGAAAACCCCTAAAAACATGAACAGGACAGGGCGATGTGGATGACTTCTCGGGGAATCTTTTACATGAGCAGGGGCCTTGTGTTCGACCTACCTTGATGCCGGAGGGTGGGCTACAAAACATGGACACTTCATCTGATGGGCCATATCCACTTCTGCCACCTTTTGGGATGTGACAATTATTTCACACTACTAGATGTGTTGGATACGGCCCATGTGTCCAAAATTTTGCAGAAGAATTTTTTTATTCTACATGTTGCCAAATCAAGTCAAGCTTGCAAAGGATGGTGATGGGAATTGAAAGGAATTGGACAAGAATGGGATTGAAGATTGGGATTTTATTTATTTATTCTAACATTATTTCATAATTACGACTTTGTTAGGATTTTTTTTGTTGAATTATTTAGGTAGGGAGTTTTTATTTACCTAGGAGTGTTTTTGCTTTAGTTTTGCTGGGAAAATAATTTACGTGTATTGGGAGACTTACCTATAAAGATTGATGTAACTCTAGTTTTTTATGGGAGAGTGAATTTTATTGAGAATTTGATTAGTTATTCTCAATGGAGAATTGTGTTTTTCTAGACCTAATCTTGGCGACGGGTTGGTAAACCTCTTCATTCTCTTCTTGTCCTGTTTTTAGCTCTTCTTCTTCTGTCCCAGTTCTGCACCAATTGCTAAAGAGTAAACCTTCAACCCATTGTTGTCTCTTGCTATGTCTCTCATTTTCTGGTTTTCAATTTGCTTCTTGTTCTTCGATCTGTTGCTTCAACTTGACTGCCAGACAAAAGCCTTCATTGTCAACAGCCTTCGTTTACAATTAATTACGAACATGTCAGGCCTTTAAACAAAATCTATCATTTTAATTATCTTTAGTACAACTAAACTTCATTGTCCACATCACAGGAGGTTCGGAGCAAGGCCAGTTGTAGACCTCGAAATCACAGCAGTCTCGTTTCATCATCATTATCTCTGTTCTATAAAGCTGTCACTGTCGTCATCGCTCCTCATCATATTGATTTTGTATTTACCATCACCAGTAACTTATGTCGCTTTTTGAAGTTTGCATTATTAATCACTCACTTTCAACCTTGTCGGGCCCCTTACAGTTGAGCAACACTGTTGTTTGGGACCACTTTTTGTTTCCTTTGAAAGTTATGGTGTTGGGGTGTTATACTAATTATTTTAGGCTGAAGTAGGACAACAAAATGTGATTCTAATTCTGGTTATAACATTGCTCGGCCCTATTTTGTTATAGCCTGATTCTGGGTATTAAAAACCTTGATCCAATATCCATATTTGACCTAACCTAAAGCCTTAACCTAACCTTGTCCTTTGGCGTGAGCATTATGGAACAAGCTTTTTGACCATATGGGTTTTGCTTGGGTTGCTCCAAGGATATGAAATTTATGTTATGTTTGGATGATGTGGGGGTGGGGGGAAATACGAAATGGAAGACCATTTGGCATAGTGCTTTATTTGCTACATTATGGGTGATTTATAAAGAAAGGAATGTGAGCATTTTTGAGAATAAATGTGAAGATTTTGAGGGGTTTTGGAAAATGATTCGTTTTTTGTTCTCTTTTTGTGGGCTCAATGTCTAAGGACTTTCAAGATATTCCTTTATTTTTTATTAGAACAAGCTGGAAAGCATCTTGCGGCTAGTTGTTTTGATTCTTTTTTCTTTTTATGTTTTTATTGGCCATTCCTGTGTTGGACTTCCTGTCCACACTTGGATTTTTTTTTTGTCAATAATATGTTGTCTCTTATCGAAAAAATAACCAAACCCAACAATACCCAATCCAAGAAAACAAAAAAGCCCTTCCCGGCGAACATAACCAACCAACCCAACTTTCTAATAAGTGTAGATCTACTCCTGAACTTTTGAAAGTACATGAAAGCTCGAGAATTTTCCCAAATTGCATCTATCCCCAATCTTTTCAAAAATGCCTAATTACCCCAAAAGTTCTCTAAATCACTGAATCTGTGCCATAACTTCTAGAAAAATAACAGATTGGTCCCAAATTTTAAGCAGATATGCGTAGGCTAACTTCACTAAGAACATTAGGAGATGTGCTAAAAGAAACTTTGGTAATCCCGCTAGCAGGAAGTAAAAACACATTGGCTGCTATAGTTGGAATTAGGCCAAAGGAAGGTATTAGTTTCTTCACTTTGGCTGGCAATTAACAAGTGGTTGAAGACTTCCCTCTACCACATGCTCCAGTCCAATTGAGTAAGGTCCAAGACTGTCTGATGTCTTTGAGCTGGTAATTTTTCTGAAATTGTCGCATGTTCTTGTTACCAATGATGCAACGTTGAATAGAGTTTCCAAAAATGGAGTTTTGCATGGAGGTTCTACTAAGGGAGTTGCTATTTCTCTTCAACTTGTTCATATGTTTCTCTCATCTTTGTCATTCTCTGTGGACTAGAGTGGGAAGACAGAGAGGTTCGAGATATAATTTTCTTCCACGGTTATACTAGTTGTTATCTCATTTTGAGACAGAGCTTGTTTGATGCCATCAAGTTTGAGGACGTACTTGGCTAGCCTGCCTCATTTTATTGGACTGCTTCTGCTATTACAACTCTTCGATGAAGAGATTTTCCTCGTGGGAGAGAATTGATGGTATCAAAACAAAATTGGATATGCATGGAATTGATATTAGGATTTTGTGTATTTATTTAATATTGTCTTGTAATTAAGACTTTATTGGGTTTTTTTTTTATTATTTATCAAATAAGAGACTTTATTGGTTTTTTTTAGGAATGTTTTTGGTAATTTGTCTATATCTATACTACTTATAAATGTTAACAGCAGCGAAAAAATTTTGATTTTTTATTTTATTCATAATTATTATGATAAAGTCAATTATACATACCTATATACTTTCATCTACTTTTTTTTACACCTATTTGTTTTAACTTGTTTTGGACTCCTTTATAAGGATTTCTAAATTCTTTTTGAACTTATTTATTAGTAGTACAATTACATACAATTATCTATATCTATATGAAGAAGTAAAGTCTTATATATATTAAATTATTATACACATATAATTATTAGATTGAATTTCACGGTCAAATATATGTTTATTTTATTTTTTTGTATGCAATAATATAATAATATTATAAGAGATCTAATCAATCTATTTAACAAATAAAAATTAATAATTCTATAATATAACTAGATGTGCGAATGCCTTAAAAAAGTTGAAGAAATACCTAAAGAAATGACAGATTAGTTACTCCAAAACTTATTGATTAAATGAATAATTATATTTAGTAATAATTAATATACGGATTAATTATTAGGCACCTAATTTATTATTTAATTTAATTACACATATAATTCAGGTTTTCTATAAAAATAATATTATTTAAATTCACGTCGTGCATTGCTAGTTTTACTAGATTTGTTGTAAATCTATAATTTCCTGGACAGTGAATTTTATTGTGAATTTGCTTGATTGTTGTGGAAACTTATTTTTTTCTTGACATGGGCCTTTTGGTAAACCACTGCTTTCTCTTCTTCTCCTATTTATTATCTTCTTCAGTTCTTCTTCCCTTTTGTTTTGCATAAATACTCTTTTAACTTCATGGAAATGACAAAGTTGTAAGAGAAGAACTATAACTAGAGATAGACAATGAAAAGGTGGTAGTATTTCATATTGACTTTGGATATCTGTCCAATATGTTGGATATATGCCGAAAATACAACTAGTTGGCTATGGAGGGAGTTGCTTTGCATATTATATTTTGGTTTGTTGGGAGAAGAGACAATGGCAGAAATTTGATAGATCCCAAACTTTTGATTCTTGTTTGGGAAGCTATGTTTGTTGATGGTTTTTCTAGGGTAGGACTAGGTCTAGGAGGTGCGCTTCGGCTTTGGTATGGTGGCTTATTGTGTCCTTTCCTTACTAAAAAAAGTGTTTCCGGAAAAGAGTTCAGAATACTTGACAAGCTAGGTACTATAGAATTTTGTGATAAAGTTGATTTTTAGCAAGCACCATCTTATTGGTGAAGACGATCAAGCTGTGGATCCACTTTCTGGTGGTTGTGCCTTATGTTTATTGTTCTTAAGGATCCTCTTAGCCAAAATAAACATGTGTGGCTCATTTACTGGCATATGTTGCTTTGTGGTTTGGATTTTTACCTAGTCTATGCATGTTAGCCAGTGTAATTATCAATCATAGGTTGGTAGTTTGGACTGGTGAGGCAAGGTGTAAAGGGGCTTTTTTTTTTTTTTTTTAATGCTTCATTGATGATTTTCACTTTATCAGTTGCACATTCCTCTTGAATTAATTAGTCAACTGAGAATGCCACATGCAATATTCCTTTCTTGTCCCCTTCCCCTTTAACCACATGGTGATATTGTATGCGCTCTCTCGCGCCTAAAATCTTGTTTCTTCATTATCTTCACTTGTCTGTCTAGGATGACATAGTTGATTTTCCCCTTTATGTTGAGGCAATACGGTTTGCTTTTCATGAAGAGGGCATGATTCGTACTGCAGTTCGTGCTTTGACGTTAAATGTTTATCATGGTGAGTTGCTAATCTTGGCTCTTATTTTTCATTTTCTTCCTTCCCATTTAGCGCAAGTGTGTTGAAGTACGACTTATTGTAGTTTTGTGATATCCTTTGTTTTTCAGTTGGAGATGATTGTGTTAATAAATATATAGCCAACGCCCCTCAGACGGATTATTTTTTGAACTTGCTCAAATTTTTCCGAGAGCATTGCATCGGCCTAAATGAATTGGTCTCACAGGCTTCCGGGTAAGAGCTGTCATTTGTTGTTTCCTCATAACACTTCAGATTATTTACTTACTCACGGAGAAGGATATTTGGTTTTGCGATACAGGAGCCTCGGCTTCGAATCAACCTCTTCCATTCTTTCTGCTGTTGATGAAATCGAAGACAATCTTTACTATTTTAGTGATGTTATTTCTGCTGGGATTCCTGATATTGGGCGATTAATAACAGACAACATATTGAAGCTTTTGGTATTTCCATTGCTTCTTCCATCGCTGAGTATAGGAGTTGTTAATGTATACATCTTTACTCTACTCTTTCACTGTTTTTCCATTTTTTTCCCATATGAAATGTTTTGTTGCTTCAATTTTGGTATTGGGCTTCGGACTCTTTTCTGTTAAACCACTGCTTTAAGTTTACTTGCTTTTCATAACCTTTTGAATTTTATGTATCCAGGAAACAAAAATCAGTGCTGTCACTTCTCTGTATTTACTATGTTGTATCCTGCGCATTGTTAAAATCAAAGACCTGGCAACTAGTGTTGCTGCTGCCTTTTTCTGCCCCCTAGAAACCTTTATGCCAAGTGCTGAGGCAAAACAAAATGGCTATATGTCTAGCTGTGGGCCCGCTCTTGATAGCCAAAAGGATGACAACAGTAACCTTAGTTTTGAGTGTGATTCTGAAAGGTTACAAGCCTCCATTCCAAACTTATCTAGTTCTTCACAAACTCAATCAGGCAAGGATGTCTTGTGGCATGATTCCAATGGTTCTCATTTGGACTTAAGGTGAGACGTCATTAATCATCTAACTTCTTGCTTTTCTTCTAGTACTTGTTTTTATGCAATGAGTTTGATTAGTTCATTTAATTGCAAGATGTTCTGGAAACATTTATATTATACGACTGGCATCGAAATTTGAGTAATTTATCTAAATTATATTATACCAGCTGCTAAACTTGGAAGATGAAGCTCAAAGAGTAAGTCAGACATGCAAAGATGTCATATTTGGATTGGTGTCATGAATTAAGGGGTCGTTTGGTAACGTTTTTGTTTTTGCGTCTTCAAAAAACCAAAAACAGAGACAATTTTTTGTCTCTGTTTTGTGGTAAACATTGAAACAGAATACATGTTTGGTAGTCATTTTTGTCTATCAAATTATGAGAATAAAAACAGAAAACATGTTTGGTAATTACTTCAAGTTTTATTCTAAATATGTTTTATAATATCTCATTTTTTGCTTTCAAACAAATCAACACTTTATTTCATGAAAAGTGATTTACAACCATGTATTAAATACCTTCAACAAAGCACCAATCTTGCACAGCCAGATTTTCGAAATTGTGATTGAACAACAATAAACCAATGCTTGACTACAGATTTCAGTTGCATCAAGATTCACATACACAATTCTTTCCAAAGCGATGCTTGATCTTCTAAAATAAAAGAATAGAAGATCCTTATCCCATGGCAAAAGAATACATTGTAATTTCATATTCTAAAATGATCCAAAAAAAAACCAGCAAGCTCAACACAGCAGCAACAAATAGCAAAGACCAAAATTTCATGGCAGCAGCCTTTCTCCCAGAATTCATCTCCTTGCAAACCAACCTCATTTACACCTTTTCACCAACAGTTTTTGACATTGTGATGCCTAATCCTTTAGCCTTTTCATCAGTTTTGGCCTGTGTGAAAATTTAGAACCATCATAGATACCCAAAATTTGAAGGAAAATACTGAAACTACGACTGTCAAATATGGGAAAATCCTAAGCCAAAAGTGAAAAATATTTCCAAATTTCACATCATATGTGGTATATAAAAGAATTCATAGTGGGATAACATACTCTACTGACTAGGAATTGGAACCCAGTCAAGAAAAATATTTTCTTAAACAGGTTATAATCTTACCATCTGGAAATGATAATTGTTTTCCAAACAAACTAGGGAGCATTGTATGTGCAATCTGCCAGCTGGATTCAGCAATTACAAAATAAATGAACTAGAAAGGCTCATTCAATGCATACAACCCAAGAGTTCTAAAGTGGTATGTGCTCAACATCCAAAAGACAACGAAAAAATGTGTGTCAAATAATCTTACAGTGCAAACTCCTGAACTTTTTGTGCAGCTAATGCAATTTACACCACCACTGTCAAGTAGCTCAAGCAAAGAGTTGGAAGCAATGCATCCACAATGGAGAGGCTGCCATTACAAAAATCGCATTAGATTTTTGGGCGCACCTTTAGAAGAAGGATATACACATGGGCGAGGAGGTAAAAGCACACTACCAGCTCACCTTGCCACATGAAGTGCATTCCCTCCAACCAGGGTCCTTTGAGTGGAAAATGTCACAGAAGACTAGTTGCTCATAAGCATTCCCGCATTCAATGCAGATGCAAACACTGATGTATGCCATAAGGAAAATTCCATTATCACCTATAGGGGATATTTTGCAGCTCAAACATGTGAAATTGACATCAAACTATGACTAGGAGTTCCACGTGACTGATTTGAGTCATTAAACTAAATCTCAAGGACCAGAATATGACAATATTCTTATTAGAATTACAAAACCCTTTTAAGAAAGGGGCAAGGAATTAACTTGATTTTTCTTGGTTGATTTTGAGGCAAAAAATGCTCTCCATCTTGACACAACTAGGCTTCCACTTATATGACCTTCACAGCCGCCCCAGCTGTCAACCCAAATCATCCAAATCTACTACCATGAAAGGGGGATACACAAGATGGGGTTATGGGCCGAGGAAACGGATTAGATGCATCAGGGGGAAATAATCTGTATTGATGACTGAGGGGATTTGTTTGTTACAATGCATATGTGTGCACAGATCTGTGTATATACACAGATCTGTGTTTATATATATACAAAGAGAGCGAGGAGATGAGATGAGAGAGGGAGAAAGAGAGAGAAAGAGAAGGGGCTTATCTCCGTCGTTGAGAGAGGAGAGATTTTGTCGGTGTTGGTGAGAGAATGGAGAGAGTGAGGCAGCCATGGAGAGAAGAGAATAGAGAGTGATGTAACGATGGAAAGGAGAGAGAAATGAGGTGGGTTTAAATAGGTTCACGAAAAAAATCCTATTTTTGTTCGAAACCCAGATCTTATTAATCCCTTTTAGCGTGTGTTTCTGTTTCGCGTGTTTTCTGGAACAAAATTTTTTTTTTCCCAATTTTTTGTCTTTGTCTCCAATACAACGAAAACAAAACAAAACCAAAAACAGTTACCAAACATATTTTTGTTTTTATTTTTGACAAAAATTGAAAACAAAAACACAAAACACAGGACAAAAACAGTTACCAAACAGCCCCTAAGATCTTTGTGTTATGAATTGAGAACTAAATCAACTTGGGAGTCGTAAGATTCAATATCAAATTCAAAATTTGAAAATATGTGATGCATGCTAATGTTAACTAAATTTAGCGGAAGGGTTTCATAATGAAGGATATTATAGTATTATTCACTGTTTTATAGCGTTACTATTAAAGATAATGTAGTGCATGAGTTTTCTTATGGCCGCGAATACATAGCCTGTATTAATCCAAAATTTACATTAACTATATGATTTGTTTTTTATTTTTGGCAAAGAAAACTATGATCTCCTTGGAAGAAGGGAGTGTATGCCTTTATCCTACCAAGTTATCAATTTCATCATAGGTTTGCCAAAGCACAGCCATAGAAGAATTTACACCAGTATTAAATATTGATTTTCACTTCTTTACAATTTTTATTAAGGGTTTTTTGAGCTTTTTTCCAACATTATGTTTTTCTTTATCAATACAAGCATTCATAGTTAGCATTTATACACCCACAATTTGATCTTTTTCAAAGCAATCCATTTAATCATGATTATAGGTACATTGTTTATTCTTTTTTCCTTTTCCCTCAAACTTCATCTGTTCTTTGCTAACAGAAAAGAAACTTTTTTTTTTTTCAATGTGTATCCAAACTTGTAGTCAATCAAAAAGCTATCAACTTTTCATCAAAAAAAGCACCGCTCAAATACGCATCATTAGATGATAGAACATTTTATGCATTTCAGCTTAGCACCCTTCTGATTATCAATGCAAGCACATCATTCCATGTGGGATCATTAGCCCACATCCCTTTCATTCAGATATATATTTTTAATAAAAATACAAAAAAGAATCCCTTTGACAAGTAGTAAATATGTTGGGGAAAGGAGCCAAAAAAGAGATAAAACCATAATCCTACATACAGAGATAGATGAAAGGTTTGGCTCTTGATTTCCAACAATATTAAAAGGGAAAAAACACAGGAGAGCAGAGGAGATATTAATATTGTGTATGATTTGTTGTGGTTGTGTATTTTTGGCTCATGTTTACCATGCATACAAGATCAAGTTTCCTTCCAAAAGAATTTTTGGGACCCATTTAGGTTGTGCAAAATGCAGTTTAGTGAGAATTGGAGGATTGTGGAACCTTGAGCCACAGATTGTATTCTAATTTTGCTCCTATTGGAGTGCACCTGGTCACAATTTGCTTGTTATTTTAAGAGTGGTTCCTCTGCAAGTCTGAAGATCTTGGACCATCACCAGAGCTTGAGGTCTCAGACAATAACATCGTCTTGATACAATTTGTTGATTTTAGCCTTTAGTGTGGGTATGTGTGCTTTTTGTTGAGGGTACTAACAGGACAAGCCTGTCAATAATCAATTATTTTGGGTGCATGGCTGTCAACAAAAATTCATTGAAGTAGCCATGATTCAACTAATAAGCTACACTGTATATCATTGATATGTAAACAAAAATGAAAAAAAAAGGAATTAAACTAGCATTGATGGAGGACTCTCATAGTCGGAGTGTGATATCATCAGGCTGCCCCTTTGTTGTGATTACTTTCGAAGTTGTAAACTAGGTTATTGGAGGAAAACAAGCCTTGCTGAAAAAAGAGATAAATTTATTACTATAATAAAAAGAGAGGGGTTTGGTGTACACCTGTAAAATGCCTATAGCATTCCTATTTTCTTCCCCCTTAACCACAACCACCGATAAGTTGACAACTGTTTAACCACTAATAACCTAGATTACATAGAAGGAGAGTGGGAGCGCAAAAGCGGCAATATTCAAAAAATTCTTAGAGCAGGAGTGCCTTGAGAGCTTCATACTATATTTATATATACATATTTGCATATATAAAAACTATTGAAAATATTTTAAAACATTCAGTTTTTTATAAAATATATTATTAATTATCTAAATTTTGTTAACTATTGATTTGAATCCTTCATAAAAACAATATTATGTATGATTCAAGAAAAAACCTTGAACTTTCTTTAAAAAACTAAAAAAAGAAAAAGGTTTTAAAGCATTTTAGTATCTTGTTCACGGTAGGAAGGCAATCCAACATCAACAAAGTGTGGAAACCTCACAGCCACTCCTTGTCTATAAATAGTGTAGCTGGTCCTCTGTGGATTGACTTACCCCTGCAATTGCCCACGTGCAAGCATGGCTCGAAAAGCCTCACTTTTGAGGTAAAGTACAGTTGGTGAGCTGCATTTGAAGCCTTGGGCTTTGGTTTGGAGTTCAAATGTTTATTAAAATGATTGTTTTGCTTAAGTTTTTTAAGTTTGGCAAATTCAGTTGGATGAGTTTGCGAATTTAGGGCGAATTCGCTCTTAAAGCGCGAATTCACTTTCCGAGCTTTGGAGTGGAAGTAGTAATAGGCGAATTGTGTGACATAGCTAATAACTCCCGATCAACTGCATACCTAATTTCTCTCTCGGTCTCTTCTCCATCCCATATCTCTCTCCCTCACCTTCTCCTTATTTGACTCTTGGGTGCCATGTGGAAGACCCACTAATCAGTTTTATGCCTGGAAAGCCATGGGTGATGTTCCAATGTGCCTTTGACCCTTGTGCATCATTTACAGAATCAAGTGCCTTCGTTCTGTCAATTTTTGCCAAGTAGAAGATGTAATTGATTTTCTTCTTTAAGTGTAACATAGATAATAGCTGTATTTAAATTGATTAAGCATTTGTGAGCTTGATATTCTTTTTTGTAGGGAGGCCTTGCTTTCATATGTCACCAGTGGAGATGATGCTCTAGTTTTGGGTTCTTTGAATGTGCTGGCCACATTGTTGCAAACGAAAGGTTGTGCAATTGAACGTAATCTGCTTCTTCATTAGTGCTTTGTCACATACTTTTGTTAAATTACCGTGTCTGCAGAACTGGATGAATCAATGTTAGATGCTCTTGGAATCCTCCCCCAACGCAAACAGCATAAGAAACTCTTGTTGGTATGTGGTAGTCATGACTGGCTTTTTTCCCCGTTTTGAATGGTATATGATCCTTGGTTTTCTTGAGGGTTGATTTACTGTTTTGAAGATTATCACTGTTCGGCGCTGTTCTCTGGCTGACAGTTTGTTTAAGGCTTGATGGCTGGGGCAGGATGCTGGCTGCAGTTGTCTTTGCCTACTTCTAATTTTTTCTTTTTGTTTTTTCTGAGGGATATTTGGGCTTTTTTTGGAGTGGGCTGGGATGCTCTCCTAGAACTTAGTGTAATCCCCCCTTTCCTTTTTCTTATTTTGCTGTGTTCTTCTTCATCATACCAAATAAATATATAAATAAACACGATATTGCTAGTCCTGCATGTACTCTTATCATCAATGACTACTAGCTTTTAATGCTGTTAAGTTTTTAAATCTTTTGATTTTCATAAAATGGCTGCATTAACATTGATATCCATATCTGAAAGACAGACTGGCTAACCTGCTGAAATATACGATGATGGGCATGCACCAATCAAATTTGCTTCCCTTGGCTACCATACCAAGGCAAAATCTCTGACTGATGAGACTTCAACTGCATATTTACTGAGGGTTAAAAATCTTAGAATCTGACATAAAGTCTTGTATCTCATTTGGTAAATGCTGGAACAATTACCTTCGATTATGATGCCATGAGCTCTCATTATTGGAATGTTAATTAACTCACAGCTCCGACTGAGCATTGCGTCCTGTTTTACGATCCCCATTAAGTGGGAAGGTAAATGAAATTCATCTATACATTAGATGTATTAGGTGCAGAAAACTGTATATCATTTTCTTTAGTTGCAAAGTCACTTGTGGACAGGAATTTCAAGATTGGAACAGTTGTTGGAATTGAATGATGATGTCCTTTTCCATGTTCTTTTAGTAGCGAGATTTTCAAAACACTGCCTGTTTTACCTTGTTACATTTTCTTTGATTTCTGGTGTGGAAAGTTTGTATGGTCAAATAATTGGTTTTCTCTAGAATGGATCCATTATACATGAATCCCTTATCGATAGTCTTAATTGGTGTTCCTGCTTTAATATTCTGCTCTTATTGTTGTTTCCCGTTTCTCGAATATATAATGTGGTGCTAAAGCTGTATGCTAACCGCAAGGTAGCCCAATGGAGACAGGGATGAACTGTAAACTCATACATCATGAGTTGGAAACTTTGACAATTTTCTTGAGTTTAGGTCATGAGAGATTTATCTCTCATAAATTCCCTAGTCCTAGCCAGATCAGGATGGAGATTAGTCGAGGTGTGCCTAAGTTGACCTGAACACCCCACACCCTTGACCAAATTACGCAAAATGCTGCAATTGTGTACTAGTTCCTATGTGATATTCTAACTGCTGCCCATGACTTCAATTTTAGATTGATTTGTCCCTGAATAAGTTCATGTGTGGCATTGCCTGCTTTATATTTGATGTATCTCAAGGATCTGTTGACTGGTTGAAGTATAGTGCCTTTCATTGTGTGGCTGCAGCAAGCTTTGGTTGGTGAAGGCTCAGGTGAAGAGCGGCTTTTTTCCTCAGCAAGTAGCCCATTAAAAGATGGCATAAATAGTGAACTAGCCAGCTACCTACAAATGTTAAAGGTATTCTTACTTCTTTGTCACTCCACACTGTCCAATTACTCATAGCTACTGCTGGCTAAAACATATATGATTTTTCTTGACAAGGAAAACACATGGCTATGCTAAGTACCCCTGATCCGTTCTGTATGGATTTTTTTCCTGGAAATATCTTGCGGAAAATAAACATCTTGATTTTTTGCTATAAATAGTTGTACAGCAATTATACCATATGCACTGCCTGAATATTTTTGCTGATCTCGATTGTAAAAACATGGGTTTTTTTCCTTGGTAGAGCATCAAAATAATCATACAAGTAGAAAGTTTGTCTACCGGATTTTTCACTATTTCTGTCGAAAGTTTGACACAGATATCTACGACCACATTGGTCTTGTATATATTTTCACTTCCTTTAATATGGATTTAATTTAAGCTAATTCCATAAAGAAAGCACGGATGAACAGGATTTATCCTACGAATTTTTTCCAAATCATGAATTTACGATTTTGCTGGGTCCTTGTTTACTGCTATAGTCTTCTCTTCTTGAATGCAAAATCCCTACATTATAAGTACGTATTCCAATGCCTTTGTGGGATTGAATATTTTTTCATTTTTTTGCCACTTGTTGAATCAAATGGAGCTATAAGAAAATCTATGAAGTATGGAAGTTATGTTCGCTTCTGTTTCTACTCATTTAATGGTTTTTATGAACTGGCTGGTAATGTTGGAAATCCATGTATTTGGTGTCAACAACAAAAATATAAATGCGACCATCCTAGGAGGGATTTGGAGCAAGCGAATCCTTTAATATATTCTATGTTGTAGTTGAAGCTTATGATTTTGGGCTTTCTCAAGGATTTATGGTCTGTGGTTTGTATTATTTGAAGTTATCAACAAAAATATAAATGCGCCCATCCTTGGAGGGATTGGGAACAAGCAGATCCATTAATATTTCCATGTTGTATTTGAAGCTTATGATATTAGACTTTGTCAAGGGTCTATGGTCGGTGACTTGTATTTTGATGTTAATTTCTGAGTATTGATTAATTTTCTGTTACTTTCTGAAAGGAGTGAAAAAGTTCTGATTTTAATATTTTTTAGACATAATTGTAATTTTTAAATTAATAAAGGGTTTGTTCTGTTCTAGAATTATTATGTGGAACAGAGGTATTTGTCTGTACATATTTTGACTCTTTTTTCTATGTTTGGTATTTAGTCTTTACACCTGGAGAAGATTTTATGTGTCCCCACCCCATGCCCTCTCTCTCAAAACAAACTATTTGACAATGTGTAGCACTTTTTTGAAACCATGATATTTTTTTGGATTGATGAATGGGTGTTCTTTCTTCTTACTTGCCATGGCAATATCTGTTGGTTTAAACCTCCCAAACTTTTCTTAGGTTGCAAGTTGGGGTTAATTTCCTCAAATTTTGTATGCCTTGAAATGGTTTACTGTTTTCGTCATTCTATTGTTTGTTTTTTCTTCCTAGTTTTTCGCTTGCTTACCTATTTCTTTATCTCAGTTGTGACAATAAACAAGTTAAAAAAAAAAATAAGGTAGTTACAAAAAAGGCCCTATACTCTGGGTACCACTGATAGAGCTGTTAAAAAAGCTGAGTTACTCCGGCCTTGATGCAGATTTGACTTGTTTTGGGCTCATCAAACTCGTATATATTGTGATATGCATTCCAATTGATCATATATTTAGGCTTTTTTTTTTGGTATGAGCCGAAATTGAGGTGTTCGGTTGGCTTGACTGAGGTAGTGAGGTTTAATTTACTTTTTTATTTATATTATGATATGCATTCCAATTGATCATATATTTAGGATTTTTTTTTATATGAGCCGAACTTGAGGTGTTCGGCTGGCTTGATTGAGGCTCAATTTACTTTTTCTTTTTACATTTTTTATAGTCTCCCGGTTCCAGAACCCTCTATTCTAAACTTTAAACCATGGCGGGAATACTCTAAATCACGATGAGCTCTTCCAATCAAAGATTAAAAGTCTAAAAATCAAACCAAAACCAAAGAGTTTCAGCTCTTTCTTTGCCAGAAAAACCCTAATCCATGCGTATCTAATTCTTTAGTTTCACTCTCATACTCTGTCTTACCCCCACGTTTCAAGATCTGAAATCAAACACAATCACCATTCCCTATTTCTTCACTCTATCTTTGTGAGGAAAAACACTAATCTTTGGGTTTCTAATCTCCATTGTTACTCATATTCTCTATCTCTAATTTGTGCAATAATCTCACTCATATGGCAAGAAAAAACTTTAATCTTTGGCAGTGATGGAAGACTAAGGGTTAGATTGATTTGCACTCAATTTAGTTTGTTTGATGAATAGATAGAGGAAATAAATGGTTGAATTAGTGCGATGGATACTTCCACAAATTTGCTAATTGTATGGCAGTGGTGGCGGACAATAGTGATGGAAGATGAGGGGTGGTGCGCTGAGTTGATAGGTGGTGCGTTTTAAACAATCATCGACTCTAAAAGTTTAAGTTGTTGGAGATGGTATAATTTAAATATTTATATAGCACGTTCCCTCACATACATGCTAAATTTTGGGCATAGTATGTGAAAATCTTTTTAATAATTAGGGTGGTAGCAAGATTCAAATACTGGACCTCCTTTTTTGATAGCATGTTAACCAATCATCTATTTCAAAAGTTTAAACTAGTTTAAAATGTTAGAGATGGTGTAACTTAACTATTTATACTTTAACAGGGCGCAATGGATCAAAATTTTGTTTCGAAACGTTTAAAATGTTTTCGTTTTCAAGAAGATCGAAACATATTAGTGACGAAATCAAAATTCTAATACTTTGAGGTGTTTCATAATATTTTGATATGTTTTGTAATATTTCAATGTATTTACATAATTATTTCGGAATGTTTTAAATTTTTTCAAGTTACTTTGGTATATTTTGATAAATGTTTTGGAATTTTTTATTTTTATTTTTTTCATTTTGTTTCCAAAACTGGTCAAAACGTTTTCGAACTACGTCGAAACATTTCCGTTCTCTAGATCACCGAAACACTGGACCGCAATTAAATTTTGATCTTTGGTTGTGTGGTCTGTACATGGAGAATTAAAAAATAAAATTTGTTGCCTTTGTCCGATCTCCAATAGGATTGGAAGCAGCATTATTTTAGCTTTCATTGTGGCTGTCCTCGGATATTTATTTTGTGTTTTATTCTTTTTGAGGGTATCTTGTCCACCATATTGTATTTTGTTTTCCCTTTCTTCCATTCTATAATAAAATTCTCCTTTAATTCAATTTTTTTTTGTCATATTAAAAGACTAGTCACTAGTCATTACCCGTGTCTGAAGGCACTCTTAACACAAAAAATTTGCCAAGCAAATGGGGCATTCAAGAATGTCTTAAATAAAAGAAGTCTAATGATTGAAATGAAAAAATTATATTACATTAACACAATTCGAAAATTCCTATGAACTTAACTTAACACCATTACAAAATTATCCAGTTATATATTTCTTCATGGCGGCTCTTCTTTCCAACGAGTGTTCATTTTTTCAACCTCTTGCTAAATCTAATAAATAGGTAATCTAGTTCACATTAAATTACAAATTAAATTTTCAAAAAGTAGAAAAAATACCTAATTGAACAATATTGTCTAGCGAATCCGCTTGTCCCTGAAAGGATGATTGATTTAAATTATCTGTTACCATGACTTCTCGGATGCTATAAAAATATTCTCACTCTACAATTAAATCAAAATCACAAAATCAAAATTTTATTATTTAAAAAAAATTGATTTAACTGACATTATTATCGTTTCGGTATTTATTTTAAACTATTCAAGTATTTAAAAAATATGAACATAAGCAAGGGAAAAGTAATGAAAATAAGGAAAAAAAATTTGATAGTTGGTTTAGAATATTTTTTTTTTTTGTGCATAATTTTTTAATTTTTTTGGTGCAATTGATATCACTTGTTATTTTTTATTAGTGATTAGTTTGATTTTGAATTTTTTTTATTTTTTGGTACAATTGGTAATACTTGCTATTTTTTATTGGTGATTAACTTGGCTTTTAAATATCTACAACCTGAGAATTTTTTTTAATATTTAAATATTTTTTCATCTATAAAATCATACAGATGTTTCGAGTAAATAAGTCTAATTAGGATCGTCAAGATAAACAAATAATACTAAAAGAGAAAGTATGAGATAACATTTTTTGTCTTAACGATCCTAATTTGACTTTCATTTTATCTCAGAAATATATAGAGAGAGAGTATAAGAGATGGGAGAGTGTGTGTTTAAAATGTCTGTAAAGGAGAGAGAGAAAGTTATATATGTATGAGAGTTGGTTGTATGAGATAGAAAGAGAAAGAGAGTTATATTAGAGAAGAGAGTCTTAGAGTTTTAAAAGAAATGAAAGTCTAATTAGAATCGTCGAATCAATAATCTTTAAACGATCTGCGTTGCGAAAATCTCGAGACAAATAAATCTAGCCATTTTATTTTATAGATTTTAAACTACGTGTTTGAACTACTTATTATATAGATTGAATTATATATATAGATATAGATATTGGTATAGATATATATAGATAGATATATATATAGGACAACATATGTTAATGAACATAAATTTTATTAGATATAATCTTTTTTATTAGAGTTTTAGTAGATATTAGAATATATTTTGTTATTATTATTATTATATATATATAACCGTCCAAATCAATCTCTAAAATGGGGATGAGGAGAGATAAAAAGAATGTAGCAGAATCTTGTAGGAATGTAGATATCTCTCCAATGATTTAAATGAGGATAAGGAGAGATAAAAGGAATGTAGTAGAGTCTTGTAGGAATGTAGTTTAATTATAGTTGTCGGATCAATAATGCTAAATTAATCTGAACCGCGAAAAGTTCAAGACAAACCAAGCTAGCTACTTTATTATATAGATGTTATTGCAATTAAAGTTGGATGAGATAATAAAGGGTATTTTGGGCTATTCAGAAAAGGTTGTCTGCATTTTGATTTTCATTATATTTTTTTTCCTAAGTTGAGAAGAATCGTTTGGCAGTGAGGGGTCGTATGTACCCCAAAAAATTGTCAATGAACTCTTTAATCATGACTAGCCTATATTGCAATTTATCTTCTGCTTCTACAAATATACATTGACAACACTTTTAAGGTACTTTTAAATTACCCAGCAAATCTAAATGGCAGGTATTTCCTTATCTATATATGCAAATTTAGATGGCGGGACTGTTCCCTGTTAAGTGCTGTTTCTGCAGCGACCTATTTTAATGGCATATCATTTTATCTGTATTTCGGGACTTGTTATGTGTATTTTGTTTTGGCTTTTGAGTGATTTAAGTACAAACTATGTTCCTTTTGTTAAATTTATTGTTAAACTTAAATCTTTTGATTTATTTACCGTCAAGTATGGGAAATTGCGGGGTTAATGCAATTCATATATTTGTAGGGGAAGCTTAAGGAAGGAATAATCATTTTGTAGCATCATTGTGTTTGGAACTTCAATAATATCAATTTCCTATTATTATTGTGCAAACTGAAATTTCAGCTAAACATGGTATACTCTGGAAAAGTCTGTCTCGTGATATCTGATTCATTTTTTGTTTGATATATTTTTTTTAACAGGATCAATATGGAGTCTCCCTTTCATGCCCAGATGTTGGAACCAACTCTCAGGTACATAGATTTCAGGTACTCTTCTGCTTCCGGAATGCAGATTTTTTATTTTTTTGTTTTTGATTTTGTCAATGTGTCAGTGTGGACATCTTCCAGGCTCCTAGTGTTTCCGACTTTTCTCTCGTCATGATCCTCTTCAGGTGCCATCGCTTCCTATAGCTGACATGGAAATGAGAGAAAAATTTAAAAAAACCTTATGTAATAGAAATGCCTTTTTTTTTTCCGGTAAACATGATTACACAAAGGGAAAAAGAATCATGAACAGCTAGACTTTTTTGAAATGGATCAAAAAAGTGAATCTTTTGCCTTTTTTATGCAAAACAAACAAGAAGGAAAAGTAGAATTCCAAGAGGATGAGAGAACCTCTGAGACTTACTAAAATAACAAACCAACCCCCAACCCCCAAAAAAAAAAAAAAGAAATGAGAAAGATAACTTCTGAAACCTTGACAAAGTTTGAGCATGAAGTGCAAAAGAGCAAAGGAAATGTTAGACAATTAATTCCAGTTGTTGGCAACCCATTTATTGAGTTATGAGTTCTCTTTTCAAAGCACTAAGTTTAAAATTCAAATTTGTGTTTTATTTGGAAAAAATAAAAGAAACCAGAAGTAGCCAAAGTGCCAAACCAGTCCTGTATCCTTCAAAATGGATAGGGTGTGTTTTGCACCTCGGTCAATGTGTGCAGTGTGTTTTATCGTCATCATCATATGCTTACAAGCATGAAAGTTCACTTTCTGTGCATCCGTTTTTCACAAATTGAAGAAAACCGTATGTGTTTTTCAGTTTTATGCCTACAAATATTATTCTCATAATAAGTGTCATTTTTTTTAGGTGCTCGATGCATTGGTCAGTCTTTTCTGTAGGTCAAATATCTCTGCAGAAACGTTGTGGGATGGGGGTTGGCTTTTGCACCAGTTGCTTCCTCATAGCGAGGCAGAGCTCAACAGGCATCATCTTAAATTACTTGATGTAAGTTACATTATCAAACAAGCTGAAGGTAGTCAACATGTCACAGCTCTATGTATGCATGTATATTTTGTCGATATCATATGTAGTTTTCCTACATAGGATCTCTAGTCTAATCTCAGTTAGATTCGGTGCTTGCTGCTTGGTGACATGAGAACAGCCTCCTTGTGACCCATGAATTTGATGAGTTTTACCATAATGCCATGACGATGCCCTTGTTTCTAAAGGTGGAATCTGAAGGTTTTCGGACCCTACACTTGGGTTGAGCCGTTGAGGTCATTGTCGAAGTTTGATCCTTGTTCTCATCCACTATTGCTAGATGCTATACTTAATTGCCGTCTAGGAAACACGGATCCAATACAATACGGATACGGTGATACAGTAAAATTTCAAAATATAGGACACGGGTAAAGCGAGGATACGGTTAATTAAAATAATTATATATATATAACAACGACATTAATAATAACAAACAACCCAAGACATAGCAAACATTACTTAAATTGAAATAGATCAAAGATTCAAAAAGATATTAAAAAGAGAAGACAGAAGCTAGAGTAGGTAAGTAATTTTTGGTATTCAAAACCAATGGCAGCAGTACAGAAGGTAGCAACACAACAGACCAAAAAAAAAAAAAATCCCAAAGGCTACAACACAGCAAGAAGACAGAGAAAAACAACTTCACCACAATAACAACAAAAAACTCCCAAATTTTGAAAACCCTAACACAATCAAATTAACCTAATCAAATTTTTTGAAAGTCTACCACAAACTAGAAAAAGTAATAAAAAAAGATTTGAAAATCGTAACAAAAAACGAGCAGCAGATGTGAAAAAAAAATTGAAACAACAAGAGGAACTTGGAGATCGCAGGTTAGTCTTCCTCTTCCCTCTCTTTCTTCTCCTCCTCTGGTCCTCTCCTTAACCCCTCTCTCTCTCTCACACACACTGAAAAGTTGAAGGTTGAGCCTTTCGACTCTGTCTTTTATTTTTTTTCTTTTTCAACCCAAAACGGCGACGTAGCTTTGCCTTTTTTTTTTTTTGGTTTCGGCCCCCTTAGTTTTTAAAATAACAAAAGTAACCCCACCGTATCCTTGCTGTAGCCCTCCGTGTCCTCATGTATCCCCCCGTATCCGATTGGAAAAATTCAAATCTACTGTACAGGACACTTCTACAAGTGTCGGACACGTGTTCGGCTGCGTCCCACGCGTGTCCTTGTTGGACACGTGTTTGACACTGCCATGGCAACCCCCGGTGAGTATCCGTGCTTCCTAGATTGTCGTGCAATTGGGAAAAAAAAGACTCTTTAACATTTTTAGTGCTGATGACTTTTTTGGTCCAAATTGTTCTTGTAGTTTTATTTTTTCTTACAGTCATGGGTGGTTTCAGATTTACAATGTTTTTTCCCTTGAACTCCATTGTTTGGTCCATCATAAAGTATTATTTTCTTCATTACAGGATTCATATAAGGAATGCTCTAGTAAATTGTTTGAGGAGGCAAGAGGAACCTGGCCTGATATACTTGTTACAGTCCTTTGTGATGAGTGGAAAAAGTGCAAAAGAGGTACTGATCATCATCGTCCTGAATGATAGATGTTTCTTTTATGTATTTTGGTTGTATTTAAACTATAAAACTTTTACCTGTAGCAATTGAGGCCTCATCTCCTCGGACGGAGCCCAAAAGCACACTCTTACCATCACAGAAGTCCTCTTCCGAAGGTATGACAACTTTTAAATAAATCAACTGGTGTTAAAACAGACTTTTGCTTCTAACTAAATATGTTTGTTTGTGTTTATTTTGTGTGGTTAAGCAAGCTTTAATCAATTTTTCTCTTTACCTCAGAACTCAATTCCAGTGAATCCTCTTTCAATGCCGGTGAAAGAATGTGTGAGTTGGTGAAGGTTGTGCTCAAACTCTTTCATTTTTTCAGTTCCTTTCTTGGAAAGCACAAAGAAATGGCTGATGTATGTTGCTGACACTGAATTTTGCAAGCCTTAGCATTCATGAAATAATTTTAGCACCTTAAAAATTCGATCTAACATAACTTGCTGTCATACACATTATGGATGTGCATTTATCACTGCTGTTTGTTTTTTCAGTTCCTGCTGCATCTTTAGCTAAAATTTGTCCTCTCCTCATTTAGGTGTTTGTACTTCTTCATCAGCTACAAATATTCTCCCTTGGAAGAGCTGTACCTGATCTACCTCCCATCTTCCCATCGCTTGATGTCCTAGAAAACTGGCGAGCAAAAACAGCTGGCGTGGACGTTTCAGGTCCAAAACTGAGCACTGAGTTAAGGCTTGGTTAGTTTTCTTGCACTTACTGTAGCTTGTAACATAATAACTTTTTGCTTTTGGTTTCTTTTTTCATTTATTGTGGTAACAGGTAGATAGTATTATATGGGTAGTATGTACATGCATACGTTCAACACAGTTAACTATTTGCATTTTTGTCTGCAATCTGCATACCTTCACACAATAACGATATATATTTTTGTTAGTATGTGGATATGGCTGAACATTGTTAAGAGACTTATTGACCATCAAATCAGGTCATTTAATTTTATTTTGCTCTGCTGGGTGCTATATTCAGTTGATGCAGTGCCTTGTAGAGTTGCATTTGAGAGGGGTAAAGAACGCCATTTCTGCTTTCTAGCAATTTCCATGGGAGCCTGTGGGTGGGTTGTCCTTGCAGAAGAATTATCTCTGAAACCAGATTATGGAGTTGTTCGTGTGGCTGCACCTTTGGCTGGATGTAACGTATGTATGGCTGTGTTGTGCTTTGAATTTTAATATGTCAGGCTTCATATGAAATGATTATTGCTCAAGATAAGTGGAGTTTCAGAAAAGCTAACAAGATGATTTGAAATTGAGGATTGTAGTTGTTTTTTGATAAGAGAAGTTTCAGAAAAGCTACAGGGAATGGTGATTTGAAATCGAGGATTGTAGTTGTGTCTTTGTTTGACATCTATCCCATCTGTTAATCCAAGTCTTTTTGATCTCTATTTTCTCCTCATAAATGCAAAATGTTTTAAGCCTCGCTTTACTTTCTAACTACTTTCTGCAAGTTTACTTTCTAACACACACAGCCCAGTCTCATTTGTAGATTTTTTTCTATGGTGGCTGCATGCGCATATGATGAATTCTAAACCTTTATTATGAGCATTGTTAAAATGATTACTAAATACATATAACCTGCTTTAAATTCCCCCCTGCAGCCCAGAATAGATGATAAGCATTCAAGATGGCTACACCTTCGAATCCGTCCATCATCTTTTCCCTTCACAGATACTGCAAAGTTTGCTGCCCATGAAAAAGTTAAGACAAAAGTTTTGGTTGATGGGAGATGGACCTTGGCATTTCGGGATGGGGAGTCCTGCAAATCTGCTTTGTCTATGATTCTTGAAGAGATTAATTTACAGAGCAGCGAGGTAGAGAGAAGACTAAAATCTATACTCGACCTTGAAGGAACTGTAGATACTTCAAATCCTTCTCGCCCGCTAGAGGCATCATCTTCAAGAACTACACCTTATTCTTTGTAAGTTCTCTACTAATTTGAGTTTCTTCTTTTTCTTATTCCTCCCCCAATAATATTGTTTTACAGATGGGGTGGGAATATCTTCAGTCCAGCCACCCTTTAATATGTTGATAAGACAACAATAGGTACATAGAAATGTAGATTAGAGCATTGTAATTAGTGCCATTGTCAAGATATTAGGTTGCCCAATTTCCTCTGATTTTAAGGTTCATTGACATTCACTCATTCTTTTAACAGCTTGAGCCAAGTCTCTCTCTCTTTTTTTTTTTTGGTCTCGATTTGTATGTGGTCTAATATTGTAACATCAATGTATATATGTATTCTTGAGTTAAAAACAATGTAAAGTTGCAAGTGTTTTTGTTGTTGCATCTTTCTGTGTTTCAGACAATTCTAGTGTACATTCATGATCATGCCCTTCCAAAAACGGAAAACCTACATAAAAATGCACCTTAAAGCTGGCTTATCGTCATTTTTCATCTTGCATTGTTTGTTGCCTCTAATTAGATGGATGAAAGGTTGCATCAGATTTGAAATCTATAGTCATCTTGGCAGGCCAAATGGGTGCTGTGGAGTTTCTAGGAGAAGAACTTGCAGAACTTGTAACTTTAGTGATAGCAACACAAGGCAGTAACATTAAACCGTAGTGACAAAAAACAATAAAATTGAACGGTGACATGAAACAGTAGCATGAACACCATGGAGATAAAAAAAAACGATATTCTTTCAAATCATAGACAGTAAGCATTGAACACTGCAGTCTCATAGCAAATTCTAAAAATAGGAACATTTTAAAACAAAAAATAGCAATATTTAATGACAACGGTCAAAATTTGACTGCATGGAAAAGTTTTAATCACACTATTCGCACAGCAATACTTAATCACATTAAATACACAAGGTGTCCTCCATTACTTTTTGTCAACAAAATGAATAAAGAGGAGCAACAATTAAAATGAAACAAAACAAAATCTAATAACTTCCACTAATTCATGTTACTGTTTTTTACGATCTTATGTAGAAAACACGCGCATCCAATCCACAACAAAAAAAATATTTTCTGAAGAACCAGAACAACAAAATCAATATACATCTAGAAAAACAATTCCAAAAATAACATTTTGAATATCCGAACATAAAAATTGAAGATTGAAACACGAAAAACACAAAAGATCGGTCGGAGAAAATGACATTAAGTGGATACGTTGACAAATCAACAAGAATGAAATCAAACTCTAAATATCATAGATGTCCGGCAATCAAACTCAACAGATCATTCACTTTGTGATCACGTCTTTGAATTATGAACAAAGAGAAATACGGAGAAGGATAATATGAATAATATCTAAACCTGAATTTGAAATTCAAATTTTTTAAAAATTTGTTACTGGAATGTATATAAGAGGAAGACCTCCATTCAAAATGCCGTGAAAATTAGGGTAACAGATTTTCAAATCAGTTTGGAAAGTGCTTCCAACACGAAGCACTTCAATAAAGATTTTTTTGTTAAAAAAAAAAAAAAAACTACTTACTAAAAAGATATGAATGAAACTTAACGGCAAATATATGTAAGAGATGAACTTGAAGCTTTAAAAATTATCTAAATAGGATTGACCTTCAATTCTCAATAAAATTATTAAATTAAATCCTTGGACTCGATTTCTGCTTATGTTTAAAATCTTGAATAGAGAATAAATAACTCGAGTTGAAGTTTTAATTTAAATGATCTACATCAGTTGATTGAAAATATTAAAATAAATATAAAATAATTTATTTTTTACATGTGATGTATTTTATTGGATAAAAAGTAAATATATAATACTAAAAAATAATATTTTGGTACTATAATAAAACCCATAGCATAGAAATATCAAAACTTTTGTTTTGAGTGGGTTGCTTACTTTGTTCTAGTGGATCTATCATTCCCCTATCATAGAGTAAGCTTTTCATACGATATAATGTAGACAATTGAGAGCTCTTTTCAAAGAAGTGGAAGAATTTTCATCATAACATCCTAAGCAAATCATTTATCACCCAAAGATGAAATTATTATACTTCTCTATCATAGGGAGACAATACCCCCACATCCGCCGCTTGGTGTAATCATACCTCTCGAATTGATAAGGCCCAATGGGTCAAAGTAATGATGCAAATTTCAAAGAAAAAGATAAATTACACTTTAACCCACGCAATTATACAAATACTTTATCCCTTCGACCATCATGCTTTCAACATTACAACTCCGCCTACGGTTATTGATTTCATATTGTTTCATTGCATATGCCTCTCATATAATTATCTGATCATATTTTACTTTGTCTCAAAATCTAATGACACGTGAATATTTTTTTAACTAACGTTTAATTTTGAGATAATGTGAAACAAACTCAAATAGTTGAGAGAAAAATCAAAGAAGCTCAATAGTAGAAGGATCAAATAATATCAAAGTCATATTTAAGGGTTCAAAATGTAATTTATCCTTAAATAATTTTGAGGTAGAAAGTGCCATTGGTTTGTAGTGGAGAGAAGGGGTACAATTTTTTTTTATTTTTTTTTGTGTGTGTTTGTGCACAGACACAATGAAACATATATGATTACTCTTTTTCTGGGTTATAATGACCTGCATATGAATGGAGATTCATTGCAGTCAAAAAAAGTAGATGAAGAATGAATACTAATGAAGACAACTTTTTTTTTTTTTTTTTTTGGGGGTTCAATAATTTTAAAGAGATAATATTATTTAGGAAAAGGTCTTTGAGAACCCTTTATGTTGAGTGAGTTCCACATCCTTCCTATGCTCACATCTTCCACCTAGTTTATCATCTATAATCTAGCTTCACTTTGGGACATATTCTCTCTCTCTCTCTCTCACACACACACACAATCATAAACACCTACTTTGATACTAGTGCTTTAAATACTATGTTGCCTAATTTGTATCTCAAATCAAATGAGTTGACACATTCACACATCACGTTGTGGACCCCAATAAATTAATTTTTTCATAAAATTTGTTGTGCGTAAATGTGTCAACTCATTTAGAATCTAAGTTTGGGCAGCATAACATTACTCTTGTAGTATATCCCCCGCTTCTTTTCCTCTATTAGTATTATTTTTTATAATAGTTTAACGTCTCGAATATGCGAATGTTGGATCTCATTCGCATGACATCATCTCAAATTGATAGTAATTCGGGGCATCTGCAAAATTAGTTGGATGTTTTACAAGCAAAAGGCATAGATTAGTTATAGGTAACAGAACCAAGCATATAATTCTTTTGCTTTTTGACATATTTTGGACCATCAAACTAGCTACCATATAGAAACACAAGTGCCTTTCCTCCTCAGACTTGGCTTGTAGTTGCTTAAGTAGCAGCATTCTTTAAGAGAGCAAAACACTCAAATGAGAATCAAGAGACTGCCTCAACATTAGTTACTTCTATTTGTTACACATAAGAATATATTGCAATATCGTGTGGTCCAAGAGCAGGATGTCCAGGAGAGATTTATGTCATTTTCAAAACATTGGTGCTAGATACCATGTTTTTTCTTATGTTCTAGCCTTATGACTAGTAGTTTTTAAATTATCAGTTGATATTACTAACAAATAAGTAAAATAGATACTGTTTGTTTGATACAGTTTACTTTTTTGAACATAATATACAGTTAATAGGCTAGTGTTAACTAGTTCTTGACGTGAAAATAATTGAACATGTTAAGACTAATGCTAAATAGGTAGGATCAATGTTAAATATAAATAACTTGATTTTGATAAGGCTGTATAACTGGTATTGTGTGATGATAATTTTCAATTTCTTTAGTTTTTTTTGTCAATTCTTGATATGTTATTATATGATTCCTTTTATTTTTAATTTTGTTCTACTAAGCATCTATGTTGAGTAGATTTTAGTTTATGCTAGACTTATGAGTGGTGGGTTTTGATTGAGAAAGAGAGGTTCTAGTAATCAATTATTGGTTCATGAGTTATGCGTGTTGATGTGATTTCACAAATATATCGGATTAGTATTGTGGCATATGACATTGTTAACTAATTAGGTTGGATTAGAATTGACTAATACTTGTGTGCTACGTGATTTTTTTTTTTTTGTTCAATGGTTGAGAGTGTCCAGATTAATTTATGTCATTTCGACTAATTCTTTATTCGGTCCGATCAAAAACAGATCATTCATGATAAAAGCTATGGTTTCATAAAAGATAAATCTTTTGTAACCTAATCTCAAATGGTTGTTAATATTCGAACTTAGAATATACATATGACATGACATGACACAACTTGAATACCATCACTAACAACACCAATTTGATCAAGTTTTTGTGGCTCAACAAATTGCAAAACCAGTGCAGAGAGGGAAGAGAAAAAGTAGATAGAAACTGTGGAAACAAACCAAACATTCTATTAAAAACACAAGTACTTAGTTACAAGACATTTTGATCTTTTAGCCTTTTGTAGAAGGATTTTTACACGAGACCCTTCTCAACCCATGAAGGAAACTTGAATTTTCTTGGGAAGGCTTGAACCCATAAAACCATCCTCCAAATTACTCTCTTCTTTCCCTCCCAAACAGAGCCTAGCACTCATACCCTCCTTCCCGCCAAATTTGACCGTTTGCAAGCTCTTTTTGAAAATCTCTTGCACCCATTTTTCAAACATGTTGTTGAGAAATGAACCAGACCCAAGAAAAATCTCATCCAACACCATCTCTTCCACTGTAAAACAATCCACTTTGTCAGTCCCACACACTTCCACAAAGGCCTCTTTGATCTTGGACAAAAACATCTCTGTCAGCTGGGAATTCTGAGTCAATCCTCGGTTGAAAACGAAGCGGTTCTTGATTAGTTCAAGGAACCCAAGTGGATTCTGGAGATCAATTGTGGTTTCTAGAGTCATGTCACTGGAAATGGAGCTAAATTCTCCAACCTTTTCTTCGGTTTCATCTTCCTCGTCCGCTTTCATGTTTAAATCAAGGGTGTTTGAGCTTGATTGCCTTGAGAAGTCTTTCCTTATGTTCCCATTTCCAGCAGCAATTGAAGAGGCATCTTCCTTATCGTTGACTCTCAAATTCTTGGCCTTGTTTAGCAAATCCCACTCAGCTTTTCGCTTGTCGGAACTTAGCGTTCTTCCATTGACCTGCAATTTCATCTGGATCACAGAATTTGGATTTCTCTTGTCATCATCATACCTTGTGGAATCACTCTTTGATAAAATGAATATTGTGCGGCCAAAACTTCTCTCTTTCTTGCTCAATTCTCCAAATATTCCGGTTTCAAAGCCATCAGCCAGAAATTTTACAAACTGGGCATCAGCAGAATCAACATTTTCCAGCAGAACCACAAGTTTTTCATGATTTCTTAAGGCCCTTTCGAGAATTTCAGTACACAAGCTCATCTTATTTTCTCTACTTTTCATGTTCATGGATATGACCGAATCCGCAGATCCAAACACTGATTCTGCAATTGATCGAGCCAATCTTCTTTTTGCTACCAAGTCGTTCCCCAGTAACAGTAACCAAGTCTCTTTCTCAGTTGAATTTGAATCAATTAAAGTTTCCACTATAGAGGGAATGGTTTCAGATTGCCAGGGTACATTCTCTAGTAGCAGTTTGCTAATTTTTTGAAGTTGGGATGGTTTGTCACTTCTATGTTCTGCCAAATTTCCAGTATCCGAGAACATAGAATGTCCAAGAGCAAGGGTGATCTTTACTTCCTTGCCTTCTCTGCTCTTCAAGGAATCCAAATTTGGTTCTGCTGGTTGATGTTTGTGGTTCTCATTACTGAAACTGAATTCAATGTGACATGACTGTTGTCGTCTGAACCGAGGCATAGAACTAGAGCTTTGGTTATGCTTCAAAGTTGAATCAGCAAATGAAATCGAATTCGTGTCGGGTGAAATGATGTTCTGATTAGGCCACCATGGATATGATGAGGTGTAGGAGTAGTTCTTTCCAGTTGAGCCCTGATTGTTGAGCAAAGGAGAACTCATTTGGTTCTGATTATGTCTACCTTGGTGGAGGCTGTGGCATTGTCTGTTCCATTTTTTCCTCAACTCAGCCACATCATCCTGGAAGTTTGAAACAAAATATTAGCTGTTAGGAAGTGCCCAATTGAAAAGTCATGTGCTTTAAAAAAAATGAAAGTTACACTTTGATCCGCACAACTATGGCCCCTCTATTACATTGTCCAATCAACTATCATATTTCCCTATATTGCACCTTCAACTATGGTTATTAGTTTTATACTAAACATGATTATCGTCCATCACAAATATGATGGAAGGTTGTCTCATTCACTCCCTGTGAACTATGAGATTTTATTTCATTCTGCCATGAACAAGTGCACATTTTCTATCCATTGGATAGCTGACTTGTGTTTTTGGGGCAATATTAAACCGACTCATGCAATTGAGGGAGTAGTGTGAGAAATATAATTGTTCTAGGGGCAAAGTGAGATTGAGACCATAGTTGAGGGCGATAAAGTACAATTTTGCTCCCAAAATTATTATCAACTATTTTGGATAAACCTGACCCAAAAATCATTATTAACAAATAGAAAATTTTGCAAAAAAAAAAAAAAAAACTGAACAATGAATTCAGAAATGGCCCTTCTTAGTGGTTAATCATCTTCAATGTGTTACCTTTTGATGTGCTTCCATGCCCTGTGATTGTAGCCAGTAAGGCAATTGGGTTGACCCTTTGTCCATGTCCTTGGTGTCACAAGAGCTTACATAGAATGAAGAATGTTTGTGGTAGCCAGGCCGAAACAATCCAATTTCTTTTTCATAGTTGGAAGTGCATTCTGCACAGCAATTCAGGACATCCTGTTCTTCCTTGGCGGTGAATGGTTTTTTCTCCAGCACTTGAGATGGGTTCTGAGAGAAGGTTATCGTTGTATCATGGCCACTGCAAAATTAAAACACAGTTAAAATTAATGTAGTAGTATTGACCTACTATGTATAATAAACTGATTTCCTATTACATTTATGTAACAAACATAATACACACACACACATTTATATGTAGGAACTAAGTTTTCTTTTTTCGATTCAACTGTCAGGGGTGTCGGGACCAACTTATGCACAATTCGACTAATCTCAGTTAAAGACAGACTATCCACGCTGCGAATAAGGATCAATAAGCCCCCGTTAAGCTAATCCCCTCATTCAAGGTCAAGATTCTAAAGGTCAAAGTTAATATATTAAATAACTTAGAGAAAAGCCACAGTCAAAAAGGAATAACCCAGAAATGATTATTTGTTTTTTTTTTTCTACTTTTCAGAATGCTTCAGATAATACAAAAACTCCAGTCTCGTGTTCTGAATGTTATTTATTCTCAGTTGCGAGTTTATTTATTTATTTATATATATTTTTGAACATCTTCCCACGGGATTTGTGGTTTTAGACTTTTAGGAAATAGAAGTCGCAACACTCTCAGACAAAGTAAGAAAGAATCGCGGCAGTGATTCACATCTGTCTCCCCTCAACTTTTTTAACAGTGGCAGGGTCCTGGCCTTGTTCAGACCAGGAAAGCTTAGCAACAAGGAGGACACAAAATAAAGCTTAAACTAGTTAGGAGCCTCACTTGACTATGCCCTCATACCAGTGTTGGAACTATACTTCCTATTTTAAAAACGAGTCTAGACATTTTGTAACCAAAAAATAAATAAAAAATATACATGTTCATTTTAAACTACGAGCCTCACTTGACTCATGGTTGAGTTGTAGATGACATACACGAGTCATCCTTTTTGAATATACTTTTGGATATTGTTGTGCGATGCTACGATATGTGATCATGTCCTAACATTTTTTATTCAGCATATCGTGTGTATCTTTAACTATGTTATGACTGATGAATCTCAATGCTCTCTGAATCGATAGTCAATGCTTGACCTTAAACCATGCAGCTACAAGGACTAACCAATGATGGGGGATGTATTAATGTAAAAATAGCACATGTATATGGGTGATAAATGTTTGAATAGTAAACTTGAAAGGGAGTTTAGCTCACCTTGTAGCATTGAGACTTAAACCAAGTCCACCTGATGGAACAGAAACAGCTTGAAGAGCCCACTGAATCTCAAGAGGGGGTTGCTTCATCTGGCACTTCATGTAGGTCTGATAATTTGCGGTGGCCATTAACCAAACCTTTATGTTTGAGCTGCTATACTCCGAGATCAACCTCCCTATCTCTGCAACTAAGTGATCAACTGGGCTATAACCAAACCCAACTCCATTGGAGAACCCTCCCTCTCTCTCTCCACCGGCTACATCAACTGTCCACTTCAAGTCACCTGTATAGATAATGACTCCCCCTCCTCCTGATGAGAGAGAATCTACCTTTCTCTTCAGGTCTGAGAGGTTCATCTCCACTTCTTCTCTCTTCATGAAGCTCAAGGGTACTGATGAGAACAGAAACTTGATGAAATGAGCTGATTTCAATTCCTCAGGGACCTCTCCTCTTTCAATCCTACTCATTAGTTCTGAAACAAGGCCTTCAGTGATGGAAAAAGTGTCACCAACTATGACTGTGTTCCTTCTCTTCTTCCTCAATAGGACCTGGAAAACCAACTTGATATCTTCTTTAACTGAGGTTGAATCTGTGGTAAGATTGCTTAAAATTTTCTTCTGAGGGGAGAAGAGAAATGGGTTTTGCTCATAAGAGCGAGTCAAGAAGTTGGTTTGCCAGAAGCTGTTGGGGTTGATGATTTCTCTATGAATACTTTCAGTGGGAGGAGAACTAGGAGTAGAATAAACCCCACCAGAGCTATTGTAAAACACAGAAGAAGCTGAAGAAAAGTCCTCTAGGTTGTTCTTCACTGAAGTGCTGGAGAACCCAGCTTCTCTCATAACCCTACTGACACTAGGGTCATCTAAGATAGACAAAATAAGCTGTTCTAACTCTACCTTTATGGCCAAGAGAGGCTGTTGTTGCTGTTGTTCTATGCAGCCCCTTCTTTGGTGTGCTTGAGCTCTTTTAAGTGCTGCAATCAGAGCATTGGAGAGAGAAGGTTGGCCATGGAGGAGAGGGCTAGGTGTTGTTGGGAGTCTGTTGAGAGCAACATTGAAGCAAAGCTCAAGAGCTCTGCATTGAAGATGGTATGAAACTTGGTGATGAGGCTGAGATTTGAGACAAGCCCTTCTCAGAAGACTGGCTCTTGAGCTCAGTAAAGTTGCAGCAACATGAAGAGGAGTGACCTGTGCATGGCCTCTCCTCCTAGCCAAGGTGAGAGAATGCTTCAAGACTGAAGCAGCCTCTGAAGTGAGGGTCTGTTGCACTGTACAAGCTCCTGCACGCATAACTTAGCAAAAACCCACCCCCAAACACCACCCCCTTTGTGAAAACACTATAACCTTCCAGAGCCAAATTGTTTTTTCCTTCTGTTAAATATGTTCCCTCGCTTTGACACCACCCCCACCACTGTTCCCTCCAGTTATTCCTTTAGTTTGATGTTTAGAAGAAGCTGTTTGGCTTCCTCTCTTTTCTTTAGAAGAGGCAGAGATTACTCACCGGGTTATGAGGATTCAGATGATATCCGAGCACCTCAAATGGGAAGATATATTGAGACTTTGGAAGGGAAGAGCTGAGAGAGCTTAGAAGGGCTTTAGAGAAAGCAGACTAGATCAGATCACCTTCTTTATACTTCTTGTAATTGAGTTTTTCAAAAAAATTCTCTTTTCTTTAGTGGGTGCCCTTTTTTTTTCTTTGAAAAATGCTATATAATCCACACATAACCACAAAATTATAATTCAAATGCATATTATCTCTTAAATGAATGTTAAATGAGTGAGTCTTACTGAAAAAGTTGATAAAACTTATTCATCTAAGGGATGATATCTATTTGAGTTACTATTTTTTGGGTTGCATTTGGGTCGCACAAATTTCCTCCTTTTTTTTTTTTTTAGATAAACCTTGGAACAGTCTAACTGATAAAGATAATTAGTACAAATGTTACTTAGACTTGCCAATATCAATATAAATGGCAAAATCTTATTGTCTATGATGCATTTATCAGACAAAAAATTGCTACCAAGATCATGTATAGCTGCAACCCTGCAAAAGAAGATCTCTCTCAGAACCTATCCTTTTTTGTTTAAGCAATGAAAGTATAAACATAAAATAACAAGAGAAAACAAAATTATTCCTATACTGGTAAGATCATAATCTCTTTTCTTCTTGGGTTTTTTTCATGCTAATTGGTTTTCACTAAAAAGGGGTCCAGACGTGGGACCCATAATTCAAAATTTTTACTTACAGAGCTTACCTGCTTTTTTTTTACACATCAGCCTTTGAAGTTTGAATGAAAGGACAAGGCCAGCAGAAATTCAATTAAAGTACTAAAGGGGAAAGGTAGAAAGAAGCCAGTATGTGATGAGAGAGAAAAGGAAAGGAATTATGGTAATTCTTTTTTTTTCCACCCTCATGTTTATCATTTGTTATTTGCATATAAATGTGTATGTATTACAATCTTTGTGTTAGTTCTCAAGAGAGAGGAAAAGGGGAGAGGAAGAGAGACTCTTCATTCCAATCCTCCTAGACAGACAGCGTTTTATTCCCCAAGTACCCAAAAAGCAACCCTCTGTCTGCTATCCTACATTGCATTATTGGCACTTTTTCAGCCTCTCTCTTTCTCTTACTGCAAGAACCTTTTGTCTTAGTCCCACCTCATTTCCAACAACCCACCTAGAACTTTTTTGATAACCCAAAAAAGAAAAGAAAAAAACAGAAATCAATTGTTTTAGTGGAAACGATTAACCATCATGTTCACACTTCAAATTCTAACCACAGAAGGCTCAGAATCATACTAGCATAAATGCTGTTGTTTGTAGACCAAAATCATTATTCAAAAACGAGTTGTCTAACCAAAAAATAAAACCTGAATTTTCAATCACGGTAACATTAGATTCAAATTTCAATCAAAATCGAAATTATTCAACCAGGTTATATAACCCGAATGCAACTCTAGTTAAAAATTTTAAGCATGATCAGTTCTCCAGTTGAATTCGGCTGCAGGTTGAAGAAACTTTGTTGATCATTTCTAAGAAAGTTACCTAAATAGGGAAAAAAATAAACCTAAAATATCAACCATTCCCATCCATATGCTAATTTCATGCAAATTGTGACTGTACAGAAAAGAAATTGTTGAAGATATAGTAATTTTCAAGTTAAACCAAATTCATTAGGTCTTATAAAAGTAAATTGAACTTCAAGAGATTGAAAGGTCAATCCGAGTTCAACTTAAGTTGTCAACCCCCAATTCGAGCTCAATTAGAACAAATTCAATCTAATGTCTAATTTTCGAACCTGGTTGAAGTAAGGTTATATAATTTTGTTAAAACTGATTCTATTTGAGTTGGATTCTCAAGTTACACAATTTTAGTTAGAATTTGGGTCCAATTTGAGTCGTGTTTAAATTTAGTTCTTGAGTTACACAACTAGAAATAGCATTGGGTTCAACTTGGATTACTCCCAAATTTACTACTTCAGGTTGGGTCCAGAGAACCCAAAATCTAGATTCAAAATATGCCCAGGCTTAAATGGGTTGGATATCTCAAATGGTAACATGGATGAACTGTAAATTCAAATGTATTGAGTTTGAATATTTGTAATTCTCTGGGGTCAGACCATAATACCCTAACCCCGGTGTGGATGACCTACTTTTGATCAGACCAGAGAGGAAATTAGTTGAGATGTGCACAAACTGGTTCGAACACTCTTGACCGTTGAACCAAAACAAAAAAAAATGTTAGATCTTAGTCGTGGATATAGAAATTTAACGTAATTTTTATTATTCCTTCCTGCCACACCTAACCAGGGATCTTATTGGGTTTGGTCGGATCCTCCATACTACCCATTAATGGATCGGCAAAAACTCAGGTTGAACCCAAATTCATGAGTTATGATGGAGCCCCAAAAACAAATTTGGATATGAAATTTTTCCCTAAACCAAATATCATAAAGTACTGAAAATCACTGTTCTTTATCAAGTTAGATCCAAATTGACTCGTACAAAAATAAATTTTACATCTTTTTGATAAGGTATTTACTTTTTGGTCAGCAAAGAAATCAAGTTGCTATTAATGACAAAGCAAACAATATTAAAACCCTATTATTCCATGTCTTCTGTGTCAACTGGATTGCCACTTGAGCATGATTCTTGTTTTGAGATAATCTTCTCGAAAAGAAATGAAAGTCGATCAATTTTGACTTGAGTCCTCCTTTTTAGGCATCATATCATGAATAAATAGCAAAACGAAATAGAAAAAGCATAGAGTGTCTAAGATTATATGGTCTGATTAAAAAACTTACGTCTAACAAAGAAAACACAACAAAAAAGAGTTCATAATGATTATTTTCATGTCGGATCGGTCCACAACACTACGTCTAGAACATCTTAAAACATTCCAGCTCCCATTTGAATGAGGGAAGCCAACTTGCAAGGCTACCCAATATATACGAATTCTAAATTAAATGTTTTCTTGTGAAAAAAAAAATATTTTTGTGATTCGAACTCGTGACATTTAGATTATAACAAAACAATTTTATTCTTATGTTACTATCCGCTTGTAAAAAAAAAAAAAAAAAAACTTCACCAAAATTGTATGCATGTTGAGATATTTGTTCATAATGATAAGCATCAATAAGAAAAAGTAGTTTTGTGTTGAAAGAGAAAAAAAAAAAAGAGGCAGGGGTGATTCAAGTATTAACTGCTATGCTTGCCTTCCAACAAAGGCAATCTTATACACTATAGGTAAAAGCTGAAGTTAAAGGCTAGTCTACAAGTTTGCGTTAAAAGGAGACAAAAGAAAATTGTTAAAGCAAATCCTCAGGGACAAAGGAATTGTGGTCGACTTGAAAACCTTGGAAAACAGTTTGACCCTGTTCAACTAGTTTTCATATTTGAGGGTTTAAACAACTCAACTTAGGCTAGAATTCGAGTTTAATTACACTGAACTTGAATTTAGTGAATTCAGATTGGGTCCCAAAAAACCCGAAATTCTAAATCAAGTGTTATCTGAATTTAAATTGCTATTGGATTTCTCTGTTCAAATCTGTACCCAAACATTTGTTTTTTTCAACTGGGCTCAGGTTAGACTAGAGTTAACTCACCTAAATTACATCCATGTTTTTTTTTTTTTGGCCCCTGTTGGATTTGTTTCGTAATAGATATAGATTAATTTTTCTTTTTCTCATAATGGGATTTCTTTCAAACTATGTGTAGTTTGAATTTATGACTCCAATCTGAAACTCAGGTGCCCACAATCACATGCATCACTTACACTCGAGTTTTGTTACAGTCAAGAAAACTCAAACTATCTCGTCATTGTTTGACCTATGAGAAAATCTTAAAATGATTAAGTAACTACAGAGACCATTTAGGATAAAGAAAGAAGATAAATTGAATCCACCAAAACAGTCACCTACAAGTTAAACTTTTGAGCTAGTAAAACAATGACTACAACTTTTGCAGTCAAAGGTCATAGATATCGTCTCAATTACTGCAAGCAAATTTTAGTGGAATCCGATAAAAACCCTTTTAATGACTCTTGACATCTACCTCTTATGATTGAAAGTCTCACATGAAGGAAAGAAGACATTGTGTGAAAGATAAAAGGGGTGAAAAGAGCAAGTAAAACGTGAGAGTGGGGCAATTTTGATTGTAATCTGGGCACCCCCTTTGTATTAAGATGGACTCTTCTTAATGTTTTTAAGTTTTATGCTTTAGCTTTCTTTTCCGATGAACTGAAAAATGTTCCACCCAAGATCCCTTTCACCTGGTGGCTATGACTAAACTCAAATATCGTACAATAATCCAAAATGTAACTAGTTTTTTATAATACTCCAACTTGAAATATCGAAATAGTAACTCTTTATGTTTTTCCATCAGAAGGAAAGGCCCAAAACAAACAAATTTCTACGACGAAAGCTTCTAATAAGAGGCATTAATATGGAGAGAGAGAGAGACTATCTCCTTCATTACTGAGAGGAAGAATTTCTTCCATTCGTTCATTTTGAAATAGGGCATTCTTATTATTGATAACCTATTGTTATGAAATCATTATGGATTTCTCTTGTATATAATTATAATCAAATTACGCGTGTGCCATACTTTTTATAAAATAAAATATTTATCTTCCACTTGGAGCCTAGGGCATCCATCTCACCGGCCTAAGCCTCTCCCTACCCATCTGAACCATCGTGACGGGTCTTTATGCTTTTTCTTTTAAGATTCACTAGAGAGATATTAAATTACATTAAGCTGGAGAGAGTGTGAGCTTATGTAAAAGAGGGTGCTCAA